CGGCTGCGGAGCGAACCGGGGGCGGGGGCGGGCAGGACTGGGACTGGCGCCCCAAGGGGCCCGGCGCGCTCCCGCCCCAAGTCCGGCGCCCTCCTTCGGCCTCCTCGTCCGGCGCCCTTCGAGGGCGGGGGCCGATGGAGCGGAGCGGTGCCAGCGCTTCTCGCCGCGACTCTAAATATAAAGGCGGCGAGGGGAGCCGCCATCTGCCGCCCGCCCTCCGCCCAGGTGCCAGCCAAGGCCGGCCGGCGCTGCCAAGGCGGGGCGGGGTGGGGGACTTGGCGCGGGCCTGGCTGCTCCTCCATCCCTTCCTCTCCTCTCCTCTCTCCTCCCCCGTCGCAGGCGGATGTTCCCTTTCCTGAGCTTCAACATGACCGGCCTCAACCCCACGGCCCACTACAACGTCTTCGTGGAGGTGGTGCTGGCCGATCCCAACCACTGGCGCTTCCAGGGGGGCAAGTGGGTGACCTGCGGCAAGGCCGACAACAACATGCAAGGCAAGGAGAAGGGCGGGGTGGATGCCATGCCTGGCTTCGGGCTGCTGGGGCCCCTGGCCTGAATCTGGAGGCCACCGGGGCCCTCCTCACCACAGAGGAAGACGCAAGGCCAGTCTGCACTCGGGGGTCGCTTCCTTGGAGCCCAGCGCAGCCTTTCAGCAAGCCTTTTGCTACATGGTTTAGGAAACCCCAGACTAGTTGGGGGGGGGGGAATGGGATTGTATTTGTGGTGGGTCCAGGAGGGAGAGCCCTCCTTGTTTGACAGGGCCAAGAACAGGTAAAAAGTTGGCCTTGGGAGAGGCCCTGCATGCCTGGCGACAATAGTGAATATTGGTTTGGCCCCAGACTAGTTTCTGCATTTCCATGCTGGCCTTCTGCCTGAGTCGTCTCTCTCTGCTGCGTATATGGAAGAAACTTCTAATTCTCCCCTCCCCTTACAGGCAACAAGGTTTATGTACACCCTGAATCTCCGAACACTGGAGCCCACTGGATGAGACAGGAGATCTCCTTTGGGAAACTGAAACTGACCAATAACAAGGGGGCCAATAATAACAACACCCAGGTAAAATAGTGCTCTTAGGTTGGTTTTGAAGACTTCCTTGGCTGAGCTTACAACAGAGAGAGAATGTGTGTGCTCAAATCAAAAGGATTTTGGAGCGTGGTTCTGAAATAAGCTGAAATAAGACATTGTCTCTCAGTACTGTCTCTCTTTTTAAGGTCATAAAGTGGGATTGGGGACAATGTTGGAGGCTTCTGGAGCAATAGACACTTCTACATTCCCCCGTCTGACATGGCGGCTGAATACAAAACGGGGTTTCTCTTTTCTGTTATTCCAGATGATCGTGCTGCAGTCACTGCACAAGTATCAGCCGCGGCTCCACATTGTAGAGGTGACAGAAGACGGTGTTGAAGATATAAACGACTCTTCTAAGACTCAGACATTTAATTTTCCTGAAACACAATTCATCGCTGTTACTGCCTATCAGAACACTGATGTAAGATTGAAACCTAGTTTTGTGTGTGTGTGGAACATGTTGTGTTTTCAAGTCCATTGAAGTAATTGGGTTTAGAAGGGCGTATCCCTGTTTAGGATTGCAAAGTAAGACCCGTAAATCTTCCCTGCTGTCACAGTATTTACAAATTATACAAGAACAATTAAGCCTTTATCTAGTTATGTCAAATTGGAAACTGCTTATTTTCACTAGTCGGTCTGAGTGAAGGCAAATGTATTTTGTAATAGAATTCAGCCATCGAAAGGTAATTTTCTAAAGCAGGGGTCTTCTCTTTTGCTCATACCTTTTTTTAATGAACTGTAAGAAATCAAAATCACTTTTGTTCTTATGTTATTTTCCAGATCACACAGCTTAAAATCGACCATAATCCTTTTGCAAAAGGTTTCCGGGACAACTATGATTCGTAAGTAGCAGTATTTGATTTGAAAGACTTTTGAATAAAATACTATTTGTTACTGGCAATTTTCTTTAGCGTTTCATACCCAAAACCAAATCCTGTTGCCTACAGAAACTTGCTTCAGTGAAACTAGCTGTATACCCAGGTGAAACCGGATTTTGGATACTGAACTGTTCAAGCTCACAACATAACTAAATGGCGTAGATATAATTGTCTGGGTTAACTGAGGAAGTAGCACAGCATAAAATCTTACTGTAGTTCATTAGTCAATTTTCAGGAAGACTGCAGCATGCAAAGCAGTCAAAATGTATATATCTAATTTATATATAATTTACACACACACAAGGTGGAGTGTTTCTAAAAGTGAGCTGTAGATCCTTTTGATAAAATAAACACAACGTTGGGGGTAGAGATCAGTGTGCGATAAGACTCCAGACTGGTTTGGTATTACTTTTTGACATTTAAAAAATAAATAAATCAGTCTGACCTTCTCTGTTTCCGGCTCGATTCAAGCTCCTTGCATATTACTGCCAGTTTCTTAAATGGTCGAGAACATTCTCTTAGCATTTTTCTTTTGTGTTTGTAGCATGTACACAGCCTCAGAAAATGACAGATTAACTCCATCTCCCACGGATTCTCCTAGATCCCACCAGATCGTCCCAGGAGCCCGGTACAGCGTACAACCCTTCTTCCAGGAACAATTTGTCAACAACTTGCCACCTGCTAGATTTTATAACGGGGAAAGAACTGTGCCCCAGACAAATGGCCTCCTCTCTCCTCAACAGAACGAAGAAGTGACCAATCCCCCCCAGAGGTGGTTTGTCACTCCCGTCCAGCAGCCCGGAGCCAACAAGCTGGACATGAACTCTTATGAGACCGACTACTCTGCTAGCACTCTACTTCCTTATGGCATAAAATCCCTCCCTCTCCAGACATCCCACGCCTTGGGCTACTATCCTGATCCAGCTTTCTCCTCCATGGCGGGATGGGGAAGCAGAGGCTCTTACCAGACGAAAATGTCTACTGGCTTACCTTGGACCTCCAGGACAAGTCCTCCAGGTTTCTCTGAAGACCTGCTCTCTAAGGAGAAAGTGAAAGAAGAAATGGGGTCATCCTGGATAGAGACGCCGCCGTCCATAAAGTCTCTAGATTCGAACGATTCAGGAGTCTACACCAGTGCGTGTAAAAGGAGACGACTCTCCCCCAGCACCTCAAGCAACGAAAATTCTCCAACAATGAAGTGTGAGGACATTAATACAGAGGACTTTGGCAAAGACTCTTCGAAAGGCATGGGTTATTATGCTTTCTACACCAGCTCTTAAGAGCGTTGGGGGTCCTGGTTTCCTGTTAAAATGTGACTAGCTATATCTATATATTATTATTTTTCCGTGGTGGTATCAAGATCTTTTGCATAAATGTTGCCAAAGGAACTTTATTTTCCACCTTTAAAACGTTTTTGTGCAATTCTATAGAAGGTGCCAAAGCTTTTGACTGACCTTTTTGCAGGTAAAAATGGGAAGCAACCGGGTAGCCCTCAAAACCATTTGGGTCTCTCCTTCTCGAGGGTACTGGGTAGTCCATAAGCACAATGTTGACTTTGTTGGCGGGGGTGGGGGTGGGGAGAGATTAACGAAGGGTGGTTTTTGACTAGCTGGTTTAAGTGCTGTGCACCGCCAGGAATTTTTTTTAAAAGAGTTTCCCCGAGTGAAGGAGGAACAGATGTATTGTGCTGATGACTACCCAAATATTATATTGTCGCTGCATGCAGCTCAGTAGCTGAGAACGGAGAGTTCTACCAGTCTTGCACAAAGTATGCAAGGTCTGGGTTTCTGGTCTGACGGCTTAAGCTTGCTTGATTGTTCCATGGGAGACTTAAATGTCTTGGCAGAAAAGTTATGGCAGTGAAGGAATCTTACAAAGGTTTCAAAAAGTACGATATTTAAGTGTACAGCTGTGTGTTGTCCAGGTCCACCGTAGAATGACAACCTTCTGTATATAGTCTTAGTCATGATCGTGCTGTTGGGTGTCTGAAGCGGGTTCAAATCCTTCATTTCAACCATTTTTTAAAAATCTTGACAGTGGATGCTGAGAGCACATCGAGATATCTATTTATTGGTAGTGGTGAACACAGGTTTTTTTTTCAGCGATCCTGTTCTAAAATGACAGTGTTTGTAACTCCTGTTGCTCAGTATGTAAATAATCTTGCAGATGCTAAGAGCTAGCAAAAGATTTTCTAAAAAGGAAAAAAAAGCATTAGTTTATTTTGGGGTGGGGCTATCCTCTCTGTACATACTTTTTAATAAATGTGGTGCCATGGTAGGAGCTTTTTCTTTGCTTTTGTCTCTGGAATGGGTTGCGGCAGGGAGGAAATCTCTAATCGTTCATTGAAATTTTTTTTGTTTCGATGTTATATCGTTCCACTAATCTAGCCCTCTCCCCATGCCAAGAGGGGAGCTCTTTCTTTGCAAGGACTGGTTCAAGGATGGGTTGAGTGTCAGTGGGCTGGTGGGCCCTCCCTGGATTTGCCATGCGTGCTGGGGGGGGGGGGGGGCTCTTCACTTTCTGCCCTCTCTCCATTGCCCCCTCTCCTTCATGTTTGAAAACGAAAGCCTGTGAACCAGCTGGCTTGGGACGGAGCAGGCGTGTTGATTTTACCCCCTGAAACAGGCCCGCAGCCAGGAATTCTTAATTTTGGGGGGCATTTTAATTTCTCCGAGGGCACTGGCTAATTTAATTAAGTGTAATTAATTCCCCCCAAATCGAGGCTGCAAAGTTTCAAGTGTGCTTATTTCCTTGGCTTGTTTTCTTTTTGCTTTTGCTGCTTGGGAGCGAGAAGGCGACTGGTGCTCAAGGTCTCCCAGGATCATTCCTTCCCCTGACCTCCCCCTGGCAGGAGGCTGCCGCCAGCCAGCCCCCCCCGCCCCCCCCCCCCCGCCCCTGGGAGCGAGAAGGCGACTGGTGCTCAAGGTATCCCAGGATCATTCCTTCCCCTGACCTCCCCCTGGCAGGAGGCTGCCGCCAGCCATCCCCACGCCCCCCCCCCCCCGGAGCTTTTATAGGGCCTGCCCCTCCTGCCTAGTAAATAGGAGAGATGCGGCCTCGATCCACCCCGAGGAACTGAAGACGGAGACATCCCCCTCGGCCTTGAGTCTTTCGTC